GCAGATGCCCTGCAGCGCTAAATTTTCATTCTATCGGTATATTTGTAACTGCAGAAAGGCTAGTCGCAAGGAAACTGCACACAAACAGAGTATTGTCACAGTTTCTCTAATTCTAAGCGCATTTGTATATTTGTCCACGAACTGCACTTGGTACAAATATATGTGTATGTAATGTATGTGAGCACTTGTAGGCATGAATTTCCAATGACCTTAATTTACATTTTATCACATTTACATTACTTACGTTTGTTGGAGTGYATGAAATTCTAAACACATTGACAAGTGCAAAAAATTAAAATTATTTATGATTGCAAATATTGTGTATAATAAATAATTCAGAAACTGTGACCCAAATCGCCAGCGGCTCTCTGCTTGCGATCGTTGCACTTTTGGACATCGCACCCACTTAAATGTCCTATTTTAAATGGACGTGACCCGAACATAATTGCAGCGATATATTTAATTAGCGTGCATTGTTCGAAACAAATGCTTTTAGCGGGATGGCTGTAGAGAATATTTTAAGAGACTTGAAATTTAATTGAGTGCTAAGGGGTACCGCTTTTAACATCAATATATGCTATATTTAATTGTTTATCAAAGAATATACATATACATATGTGAAACGTATGATATTTTAAGCAAGTTTCATTTTATCTTAAAATTTTTCTGGAAATATCCTATATAACAAATTTTTACCCAATAATTATTGAATAATTAAAAACTTAATTTATAGTTTCTTCTTAAATCTAGCTCAAAAAAGTATGAAAATTAATACGCAACGGACTCAGCTCGTCCCGCTGATCTACTATAAGTGTATAAGTRTATAAATATGTATATATATTTGGGGGTTTTCAACGATTGTTCAATGATAAAATTAATATACTTTATTCAGGGTATAATAATATAAGAATTTAATGACGAGGAAAAGAATAACCACGTAGTTGTATCGATTTTTTAAGCGGAGTAATATTTAACTCAAAGTGATTTATTTTTATTTCAAAGCTCTAGACTAAGCGAATTTTGTAAAAATTATAAGCTGTGTTATGGATTGTGCGCAACTGTTTGACTCTAAATTATGTCAATACGAACATATATTAGGCTTACGAATTTCACAATCTTCAAAGGCAGAAGAAAATAGCTCTTCCTTAAAAGTAAAGCAAAGGAAAGTACAAAATTTTCAAMAGAACCACCTAAGTTCGAAAGGATTTATATTGGGCGTATGGCAGGTTTATTTGGACCTGATTAAATTCATTTTTGGGATGGAGACATATTATTATCAGAAAAATCTTCTCTCCAAACTTCAAATTGGCCGATAGTTTCGGTAAAATATTAGTACWAGGAACTATTTTGTTTTAGTACGTTTGGACAATTTTTCGTCATATGGCGTAAACCTCACTTTTCGTGCAAAGTTTTATTCGTTTAATTATTTATTTTTACACCCTAATATAGGAATGTCAGAATAATATTGCATACACAATTTCGTTGAAATCGGTTAAGTCGAGACATGGTTTTTCACTTAAATTTGCCCAACGTTAAAATTTTAAACCAGCTACTATAAGGATTATGAACTGGTTGTTAAATGTTTTGTCTTTGAATCATTTATATATACAAAGAGTTTGTCCGGAAAGGACTGAGTCGATTTAAAAAACCAATCACTACAATTATTTAAAAACTTTCAAAATAGGCTCCTTCTGCATCGATACAGTGCTGCCAGCGCGATTTTTAAGAATTGAAGGCGTCACGGAAGGCATTCTCCGGAATAGCTGTGGGAGCCGAGGTGCATGCTGCCTGGATCCCCCTCTCTCAAAAGGTCTCTTTAAGGGGTCACTTTCCACACACATTTCCTTGCTCATGTTCAAGTGCTCCGACACAATGTCTTGAACCACAGTTTTTGATAAATTTAGATAATTTTCGACTTGCACCACTCACAGAAATACGTCGTGCGAAAATGTTTGTCCTGCCTCTCCAGGTGCTCGGAAATAACTGTCCAGYCGCTTTTTCGTTAGCTAGAAACGCCCTCTGCCGGATCCAGTCAGTGCTCTCATGCTGCAAAGAACCGTCGCGATAGAAGAAAATCAGTCCTTTTACTTTCCTTACAAACTAGGTTTAGACAACCGTTAGGTGAACAAAACTTTTATACTCTGTAGTAATGTTGCAAAAGTATAAAAATTATGCWACCAATATTTGTTATTTTTGTGCGCTGGACTATTGGTTTACTTAAAAAAGTTTATTKTAAAATGTAGTATAATAGTATATGTACATAGACAATTCATTTATCATTATAAAAAAATACTACTTATGTTGGAAAAAATCAATATCCTAGTAAGTGTGACGACTGAAAGTTAAGCCGTTCCCACGACAGTCCGGTCTAAGTAACCGGAACGGACCTGGATTATCCGGCGAAGGACTTTCCTTTCCTTTCCTCGAAATTAACTCAGGAATATTTAACAACAAAAGGCTTTAAACCGCTAATGTTGGTCAATATATGAGATGTTTTAATGACTTTAAGTTGACAACTTTTCATACAAATTGTATGGTTTTGCACTGAAACTCTTTTATTTGTTCCAATGTTATTCTTTAAGATTTTTTTCTCTTGTTAATAAAATGATGTAACTCCAATTAAACTATTGAAACTGATTATGGCTTTGCTAATGATTTTTAATGACTTACATATTAAATACATTTTTGTGGAACATTATGCTTTCATAACAAACTTGGTGCGCTTACATATTTTTGATTATCTTTTAATTCGTATTACATTTATTTTAAACTTTTTGCATTGTTCGGTTAACATGCACACAAAGTGAGACAAGGGCAGGGGCGCCTGCAGATTGGGCGGTCAAACCCGAGACGGGCGCAAAGCTGACGAATGCGAGAAATAAGCGTCAATATGTGAGCGCTCATTTTCATAAGAAAACGCACACGCACTTTTTCGGAGCCAACTCGCTTTGAAATACATAACTAATATATTATATATTCAAAAAACGTTTGCGGATAACGTCTTAAATCTTTATACAAATGGCGAAACTCATTCCTTCAGCAACTTTGTTTCCTTCTTATACTCTAGCAACAGAGTATAATACTTTGTATTATTAGTATTACCTAAAACTAATCGAGATTGATATAAGGTTATGTACATGTATGTTTATATGATCACGATGATAATACGAGTTTAAATCCACGTAACTGTATTCCTGTCCGTCCGTGCAAGCTATAACTTAAGTAAAAATTAAGTTATCTTGATGAAACTTGGTAGACATATTCCTTGACATTGTAAATGGGCATAATCAGCCCCTCGGCTACGCCCCAAAAAACGCCAACATAGGAACACGTTTAAAGTGCCATAACTAACCTGCAAATTAAGATACCGAACTCAAATTCGGCACAACGAATAACATTAAGGAGGGCCAATTGTGGTTTGAAAGTCTTTGAAAAMTGGGCGTGGGCGTATACCAATTAATATAACGACATGAATGATRAAGTGTGCCATCTTATGACTAAAACTTTTCAAAATCGGACCGACTATTGAACCCCCTAGCTACCGAGTATGAGGACCCCGTGTCCTGTAGTTGACAGTTTACCGAAAAAAATCGGTCAATATATAAGATATATAATTGTTATACGGAGAAAATTTTTTCCTGATAAAAGTAAAGGTAAGTGAATATCAAATATGGTTTGAATTCGGTCTCCTATTTCAAATATAAATATTTTCGAATACGCGGGTGACCTTATACCAGTTATTTCGGCCAATACGTGAGTTATCTCAATGAAAATGAGAGACCGTGTTTATTAATACGAGTAAAACACTCGTATTAGTTTATTAGTTTATAGTTTATAGTGAAAATTTTCAGTAAAAGGAATAAAATAATATTTCGGGAATATATTTGGCAATTAAGTGATGTACTAAGTATAGAAAAAACTGCTGATTGATACAAAACAATCATATTTTTTCGTTGCATATTATAGTTATCTGTGTAAAATCCGTTGTCACAACGTTCTGTTACATGCGATTCAAAATGTGCACTGCACGTATGTATGTCTTGTATATAAAAGGGGAACTGAGAATAATAAACACATTTGTATGTAAATGTCCTTTTTGGTTGACCTAGTCGCTCGACATAAGCTCTTTAAGAGGAGAGGATTCTCTTAATCGCACCCATAAAAATGGATATACAGACACCTGTTTGGAGACAGAAAATCCACATAGCCTTTGTAAAGGGAAACACGACCTTGAAAACGTGGGCAAYAGATGTAGGCCAATTCACTTGTTGGGGCCGCACACGACCGGCGTTAGTTCAAGTCGCGTGCTCCACGAGTTTGCATGTGGCCGGCAGCAGGAGACAGATAAACAGAACAACACAGCAGCACGTAGGCAACACAAGCCTAGTCTTTGTTTTCGTAGAAATGTCAAGTGGCTACCACGGCTGCAGCATCGATAACGGAGAGGCTTGTGTATATCTGGCTTGCGTTGTGTCAATCACGCAGCGTCAATTATTGCTTGAATCGAAACACATTTATAGATACAGATATAAATTATTTATTAGTACAACAATGAAAGTAAACAATATCAGAACACCTTGTAACTCGCTACGCGCTTAGTTGGCCTAATGCCACCCYATGCAGCCATGCACCAATAGCAAATTGACACTGAGAGAGCATATGCTCAGCGCTCTCAAATTGTTTGCTCATTTGTGAGGATCAACACGCTCTCAACGCAAACCCTTTGCGCTTGGCATCCTTGTGTGACCTTCTCCGACCCTGAGGGCTGTGACGTGTGCTCAATGCCGTTGAAAGTTGATTTACTATTGAAGCGTATGCATGTGTGTATTTGTGTATAGATAGTCGGACTTTAGGCTTATTGTCACCACCTTTGTAAGCAAAGCCGACTGGCACATGTTTGGCTATAACCAGGGGGTGGTTTGAGTCCAGATTTTTATTGGGTGCGTTACAATGAGCTTTGTGCAGGATTCGCTAAGCGGGACAAGGGTTCAGGATATGGCGGCACATGCAGGTCGCACGTTGGTCATGCGCTGCAAAATCAGTCGAACGCCGTTCGTACACACGATAAGTCACGTGTGGCTCTAGCTCTGGTAATAATTTAGCAAAAATAAATACATAGTTGGTTTTTATATAGGCATCAAGTTGACCACAAATTTATAACTCTAACCTGTTCATTCAAAATAATTGTGTATTGTTAATTTTTACTACGAAAATGGAACATAATCTTCATAACAATACGCCGGTTCATTGGGGTTACGGAGCGGCTCCCGTGGCGACTACGCCGCACAGTCACTGGGCTCCACCACCGCAAAGTCATAGCTTGAAACGCGCATTGTCCGAAAGTGATTGTGATGAACTCTACTCTGAGGAATCGTCGAAAGAACAGTAAGTAACTCTCTCTTCAATTGATAAAAAGAAGCTAACACTTTCTTCTTCTGAAAATATAGAGTTTCGCCCAGTGAAACTGGAAGTTGTCAGTTATTGACACGTAAGAAAAGACGAGGTGTTATTGAGAAGAAGCGACGGGATCGCATAAATTCTTCACTCACTGAGTTGAAACGTCTCGTGCCGACGGCTTATGAAAAGCAAGGTTCTGCTAAATTGGAGAAAGCTGAAATCTTACAATTAACCGTGGAACATTTGAAAAATCTGCAATCAAAAGGTAAATTAATTGAAATGCACGCATATAAGCTCCTTTAGTGAACATACAATCGTACATACTCGTACACAATTGTCGTATGTATATTCGCATGCGCATGCTGGATGTGTGAAAAAAGCAGAAATGTGTTAAAATACAACTTGTTGAAGACGAGGATTTCATTCGAAATTGAAGGTGTTTTATGAGAAAATAAAAGTTTTGTGAAGTGCAAAAACAAATTAAACAAATTTCTATTGAAAGTAAAAAGACTCTAGGTGTATGTATTTGTGACTAAATTGAATAAAAATTGATACGTGTTAAAATAATCAAGCGTTTGCTAACGGAAATCTTCAACCCAACGATTCGTCCAAAATATAAGTGATCTAACGAAAAATTTAATCTTAATGAAATAAGTGATCCACAATTAATTATTATCGTTTATGATTTTTAAATAATACAATATAGAAAATTTATTCAGTAATACCACAGCAGTAAAAAAACATTAATGACCCAGGGACTATGCCAGAACTTTTGCAAAACGKATAAGAAGTGATACAAACAAAATAAACAGTTTTTTGGAGTGCGAAGTCTGATTTGCTTAATTACGAGTATAAGCTCATATGTATCTTCTTCTTCCTTATTGGKGTTATAGTCRAGATTACAATTTTACCACTTTTTCGAGATGCTGTCTCATACATATGTTCTAATTAATGTTTTTTTGGTTGTCTGCAGTTTCAGTAGCAATCAAATAAATATCGCTAAAATTAAAAAAAAATAATTACTTGAAAATTTAAARCAATTTTCTTTGAAATTTTTATGTAACTATACACCCACTTTAGGATAACTAAAAAGGAAATAATGCTTATATAAAAAGGAACAATAATTTGTTCTTAACCCTTAAACGTCTGGCATTTCCTCCACGAACTACAACTTCTTTGTCATGTATGAACATGCATTTTTAAATATTTATTACATGACTTCACATGTTGCTTTGATATATCCGTTATATTTTCGTCGCCACTTGTGAGTGATGCKYGGAACACAACGCAGCAGCACGACAGTGAACTGAAAACGGCGTTGTGAATCCTACTACATGAACGTTTGGGAGAGGGCAGCAACATAACAATGGCCGGCATGTACACAAAACAACGCAGTTGTCCATTTTGCATGTACACAATTTCGTTTTGACCATACTAATACCTTGCACTTCAAYGAAATTTTAATATTTTGTTCAAAGTGAAATTTTTTATGAAAAAAATAAGTAAATAGGTAAATTTATTTGTTTAAAATTATCAATTGTTATTACAAATGATGTAACAGAGCTATTTTATGCTTTTATTTGTATAACGTCAAGTTTGTTAGAGCTGTGAATAATTTTACATTTTACTTATTAGTGGCATCACCACTCTTCCTCATCTCTCTATCTTCCATTCTACTGTCAACTCTACTGTCGTCCCACTGTCGTGGGCAAATATAGGATCAAATTGAAGTTAGCGAGAACGACAACTGTCGGCCTGCCGTMGTGTAATCGTGCAGCTGTCAAAATAGGTCCGTCCATAAGAACGTGTGTATTTTAATTTTGACAGATTGATTTTACAGATGTCGTTTGCAGTCTGTCGCGAGCATTGTATTCCACACATGAGCTTTGCAGTCATTTACGTTTTAACTTGAGTAAAGAAAAGAATAATTTCAAGGAAAATTTTATATTTTCAAGTACCTATTGCAAAAGTGATAATAATAACTTGGTGCTGAAAATTTGGAATCTTCAGCGTTATTACAATTTAGTTTGATGTAAGTGTTGATAAAAAGTTTACAAATTTAAATTTAAATTTTATGAAATAAAACTAAAACGGTCCCTTGAGGAACCATCAGGTGCATGAAGGAACCGCCGGGCGTTTAATTTCACTAAATCAAAGAAAATCTTTATAATACAGACCATAATAATTTGTTTATCATTTCATTTATTAAAAGTTTCTTGATAAACTTTTTTAAACTTTTAGTTAAAAAACTGTTATATTTACCTACTGCCTACATGAGAAAGCATTTTCGGGCACTCATAAACTCCGTTAGGTCAATTATATACCTAAACCGTATGCGTGAATTCGGTTTTACGAGTTTTTCCACCAAAAACGGATTTCCCACGCTTTCAATTTATCATTTTAATCCGCCAGCCCAACTATCCCATAAACCACCACCACCTTGGTGCCATTAGTAGGATCAGCAGTCAATTGCCAACAGCAAAGGGAATTATATGCAACTTAGCAAGTGCCTTTGTCGCGCTATTAATTCACCCGTAATGCAAATAATTCTGTATGTTCCATCAACTATGAGCATGCGTACAGACATTACCAAGACACCACGCTAGAATAAACTCACCCTCTCACAGGGCAAAGGGGTTACACTAAGGCTATGAAATATGCTCTGTTGTGGGAATAAAAATAATGATAGTTTTTATTTAGTATTTAACATGTGAACAATGTGTGTATCTAAGTATGTACGAGTATATGTGTCATGAGCTTATTGATTCACAAAGCCAGCGCAATTGTTTGCATACATGAGTGACTTTAATGACTTATTTATAACTGTATTTATTTATGTTTGCAGGTATTGAATCGTTTAGCTATGATCCTCAACGCTTCGCCATGGATTACCATATTATCGGCTTTCGAGAGTGTGCTGCCGAAGTGGCGCGCTACTTAGTGACCATAGAAGGTATGGATATTCAGGATCCACTCCGCCTACGCCTCATGTCGCATTTGCAGTATTTCGCGCAACAGCGTGAATTGTCGGCCAAGAGTTGTGCCAGTCCCGGCGGATGGACTTCGGCGTCCGCATCCAGTGGCTATCAGACAAATTGTAGCGCAGCACCTTACCAACCTTACCCAGGCACACCTACTGCTCACCCCAGCCTCAAYCCCACGTATATGCCCACACCAATACATGCCTATCCCACACTGAGTACCTCGCCAAGCAGCACTACACACCTTCAGCCGCATCCGCACCACCTTCAACAACACAGCACACAACAACAACAGCTGCAGCAGCAAGCGGCGTCAGGACAGGTTAACCGAGCTTCTTCGGCCAATGGAACAGTGCCAAGTGAGACGATGCCYATAATAAGTCACGCAACCAATCAGCCAAATCAACAACAGCAGCAATCGCTCGCAACGCATCAAACACAAGCAGCGTCGTCACAGTTGCAGCAAACACCTGTGTCGCACGAATCACATCTTCAGCAACAACCACAACAGCCGCCACCAYCGCAAGCGCAGCCGCAGCCTCAACACTACACGCAAGAACACACGCACACCGATCAACAAGGCGTCACTTATGCGGACTTATCCAACGCCCAGGCTCACATTGATCATCGCAATCCCACAGCGGCCATTGCCGCAACTGGTCTGAACTACCCTGGCTCCACACATTATCCGGTTGCAGCTGCACAGGAGTACAATTCAAATTACGTGGCTGCGAACGGTTCCAAGCCATATCGACCATGGGGTGCCGAAATGGCCTATTAACGGCCATATGSAAATGTATAACAATAACTTCGGCTAACTGTTGTTGAAAAAAGCGGATTAATGATATTCATAACCTAGTCACGAAAGATAACAAAAATTTAAGTCCAACTTACCTAATTTATTTGTAGAAATTATGAAATAAGGAAAATATTAATGTTAACATTTTCTAACTATTCTATATGTGTGTGAAATCTTCTTACATATACATATGTATGAATACAGTGATCCAACGGGTACAAATATTCACTTTAAGGGGTTTCCCGGAAAATAAATTTAAGCTTTGATATACACTAAACGTAAGAATATTTGGTAAATATATCTTTATTATAAGTTAAATAGTACCTTATATTAGGCTCTAAAAAGAGCAATTGCAAAGTATGATTCTAAGGGTAGGTAAAAAGAGTACTTACATAACACCTTATGTAAGGGTTGGTAAAAAGAATATCCATGCTAAAGCTACTTATGTCCGAGAAATCGCTAATTATAATAATGAAATAATAACACTTACGACTGTTAAATTAAATTTTTACTTTATTTTTAATTTTTTCTTGCTGACCATACCATAACTCAGATTATTCTAAAACTTTGTTTTCCGACTCTATTTTAATTTTATTGTAGCTGCAGTTTTTAAAGTAGCGCTTCTTCCACGGACTAAAATCATTGCATCTGATAATAAGAAAGATCAGAAAAGTTTGAAATTAATGTTGTTTGTTAATTAAAATAAGTTTATTACTAGACTAGAATTTTCAAACAATTTACAAAATTTAATCAATTGATCAATCGATAAAAAAAAAATAATTTATAGAAGCCCAACGAGYTGCAATGAACTTGATAATACCTACCAATCATAACACCAAAAAATGTATTTTTTTTTTCGGCAGCTCTCCTTTGAATACCGTGGCCTATGTATAATCCAAAACCATTTGTCGGTAAGGCTTATTGTTGCGTTCGCGAATAAAATAAGTAAGAATTTTTATTAAAAGAACAATTTTGACAAGGTTTGTAAGTTATATGGGGTCTTAAACAAGTTTTCACCCGATTTTATCCATTTTAGGCACAAAGAAGCACCGTTATTAAAAAAAACTCTCTCAATTCTATTAAAATTACCAACATATTTGCCTGATATATGCGGCGTAAAGTGAACTGGAATTTCCTAAAGAAAGGCATGCTATTAGGAAAGTATTCGTTTCGAATTTAAATAACATATCTCACAGATTGACTGATATTTTCGATAAAATGTTCGCAATTGAAAGTTTGATCCAGATATTCAGTAACTGGGGACTTGAATTATTTAAGTCGGATTTTAACAATTTTTGGTGGTCATCTTTAAGCTCAAATTGCATTCTGGGAAATGCATGTCCGAGGAACTTAAATTTTGATTATATGGGAAGTAGACGTGGTTGTGGTCCGTAGTAGTTTTTTCGCACTAGAACATAGGAATGTCAAGATAATACTATATACCAAGTTCGGTCGATATAGATCGTACTGGATCCTGAGATTGTTTTTAACCGAAATATGGGCAGTGCCACACCCATCGTCCATTTTTGACCTCGGCTCCTATAAAACGTTCTAGTACCATCTGGAATGTAAAATTTAATGCCACTTATTTTTGATTTATCGCACTTTTAGTAGTTTTTAGCAAAATCGAAACGTGGGGAGCGCGTGGTTTTAAGTGTTGTCAGTTAAAGTGCTTAAGTGACTTGTTCTGAGCAAATTTACTTTTGTTTAGTGGCATTTTGTASGAATAGCAGTAAACAGATTACACYCATCTACGAACTCGCCCTCACTTTTTTGCTAAGTAGCATCATCCGTTTCAAGTTTTATTAAGATATTTAAATTATTACTCAAGTTATCACTTGCACAGACGAACACATATAATCCTATATGTAATTCGATTATTTTTAGGCGATACAAACAACCGTTAGGTAAACAAAACTATTATACTCCGTAGCAACATGTTGCAAGAGATTAACAAACGGTTCTTGCTTTATAATTGTTTTTGTAAATTCGGGAACGGTGCATTGAAGATACATATGTAAACAAACAGCGTTCRAAGTTTTGTTTTCAATTTCACCTGCGCTCTTTCTACAAAATTACAAAAACAAATGCGATGCTTGACTATTACATGCGGTCATACGTGTACATTTTTTCACTAGGTTGTTCCGTATTCTTCTACCATACCCCATTCAACTGATTTGCTAAGTTTTTTCCCCAAATAATCAGGGGTGTTGTGGAATCTRATAGTTGTCGGAAKCAGAATTGAAACCGATCAAAAAAAGCAGTAGGTGTCAGGAATTCAGATATTATTGSTTTTGACGGAAACCAATTTTATCAGTTTTGCTGTCAGAAACAAATCAAGAAGATAGTCGCACACAGATTTSAAATGTAAGTTAAGAAATCAAGTTATTTTATTGTTACGAATTAATTTACTTTTATTTCCATAGGAGAAAACATAAGAATAAAAGAAGAAATGTCTTCATTATTGAGTTTTGGAAAAAAAACGGTGTTTAAGGGGAGATCCTGCTTTAGAGGCTTAAAAGATCGACTTTGTTGAGGTTTTTTTGGGAGGGAAATAAATAATCGATTAAAGCKAAATTTGTAGGGTTTATAGTTATATTTAAACATCATCCGCACATTTTTTTGATACGAAATCTTTTACATTTTGCCTTTGGGAAGCAATTGTCAGATGCTTCTCGCATGTGCATATGMMAGAGCGGGCAGGATGCAGGTCGAGATTTCATAGGAAACAAAAAATTCAAAGAGATTCATATTATTTAATAACTTATGTTCAAATCAAACTATGAAAAAAGTGTAAAATTACAAAAAAAAATTTAAATTTTGAAAAAAAAAACTRATTTTTATCTTTCATGAACCATTGCACTGCATATTTGGGTGCAGTTCTATTATACCACTCCCAATATTTGGCAATTCTATTAGTTTTGACGAAGAATTAGTTTGAAATTGTACGCATTTCCTTCTTTGTTTCCGTTTAAATATTGCACTACTCTGTGCAATATTTCGAAAATATTTCTGATTTTATTCTGAAAAAATTTTACTTAAATACATATATGGTCAAATTAAATTTTTTTAGATTTCTTTTTGCTTAAATAGAAAATAATTGAATGCCAAAGATAATAAACTTTGCCCCAATTCCATATGACGTTCAGTTTTTTTCTATCCTGCCTGTCAATTAAGAAAAAAAAAATGAAAAATCGAAACAAATGCGACTTTATTAATTCAATAAATTGTATCTCTTAAAATCTTTCTTTAATTCGGAACTCACTAAAAACTTTAATAGGTGTTCATTTGCAAGTTTTGTCATATTAGTAAACAGCTGATTCGAATATTGATTTGCGTATGTTCGAAAAGACAAAAATCCAATCAGATTCTATGACACCATTAAAAATCAGAATTGGTTTGCAATTCTAACAGCTAAGCAATTCTGTCTTGGATTCCACAACACCCTTGAATGTAACTAGAAACGTTAGCTCCTTGGTAACCAGATCTAGAATACCAAGCTTCGATATTTTCTTCTTTAACAAATGACTCACAAAAATATTGAAAATATATGTAATAATAAATTCGTCAGCATTGACGCTATTTAAATTCAGTTTAGTATCTTCCGGAATTACATGGTTGTCCAATTAATGATCATCGGCATCATTTCAGATCTGTTAAACACATTTATTAAGTGGCAATGATTTGGCAACACAGAACGCATAAAGAATACCACCCACYGAAAGTTTTCGCCAATTTTCCGTAATACCATGCACTCCATTTCATAAAGATTTTTCCATTTTCCTATCTTGCATATGAGAAAATGGTTTTTGCATGACCTTTATGCGCTTCTCGTGGTGTTAGTTAAAATTAGTATTAATTATAATTGTAATTAATACASATATGTATAGTATGTATGTATGAAAGCTGTGTTAAAACAGATAGACTAATATTCAATTTACCTTTCTCACAAAAGTTTTCGCTATTGAGGAGTGGAAGTAGTAGTTAAAACGTAACATTGTAAATGACAACCCTTCTGACCATGCACAAAAATAACCATTATTCTTCACTGAAATGGAAATTTCGCTCATGAAGTTTTCCACAATACTGCTGTTTCTAAGCAATATGTAGGTTTCAAAGTAGATTTGCATATTTTTCTGTTTCAATAGCTATTGACCACTGGTCAACTCAATTTGCATATCCACTACGGTAGTAGCTAAGGCCGCAGCCGAAGTCACAGCCAAAATATGGTATGAGTATTTAAATGGAGGTATTAATATTTACAAAAAAAGGCACGTGTTTGTTTTACTAATACGCTATAGTTAGTGSACTAGAACTTGAAAGTTTTGCATAATCCTTGCTTAAGGAATGGTCACTAATTATGTGCATAGTTGTATGACTGCAGGTAATCATATTGTGGATGCGAAGGGTTTGTGATAACTGCTCCGAATACTTTTAACCGAACTTGTATTCACAAAGGTTCATGAACATACAAACGTATGCAAATAGTTGATTGAGTATATAGGAACATGTTTGTTGCTTATTAGGTAGGTAAATGTCGCCTTCACAGATCATTGAGCACACCTTATTGCACATTCCAGTTTAACGCAATCTCCTCATGCGCAGATACAAATTAGAATGAAGAGTTTCTTCTCGCTGCATAACTGCATATAATTGCAAAAATAACAAAATATTGTTTTCAAGTAACACATATTTACTTTCATTCAGCTCAAGTACCAAGTACACTGTTAATAATCAGCTTAATTAAGTTTTGAAGTTTTCATTTAATTGATTTGAAAACTTCTCAACGTCACAAAATTCCGGTAAATGTGATGTTTTCTATTCGTTTTGTACTCATGGTTATTTATCTCCTGACTATATTATTTATATTGTAGCCGTATCATTTATTCACTTTTTTCAGTTCGAGCACTTTCAATTATAAATATCCACAAGTGTGAATATCTGCGAACAATAAGTCACTGCATTGATAGTAGTAAAGTGCGAGTAGCTCGTGTTAAATGTGAGAGACCTTTTCGACTCGACTTCCCACGCTGCATTCAGATCAATAGTCACACACCCCTGTTGAATCAATCGCCTCTATCGCAACTTTACTCAAAGTTCCCACTCAAAAACCCACGTCCCACGACAGGCTTTCGAAAACCAACCCCAACTCACGTGCTCTTAGAAATCTATCTACTTTCTATTTAATTTCATACAAACATTCACACACATGCATGTATGCTTTTAGGTATGGTATATTATGATTTGTTATTGTAGTTATGTTTCCCAGTTGCTATTTCGGGGTGGTTCCATGGGCCGCAAATTCACTGCTAAGCGATAATTGCTGTATGATTTCGACAGCAACAGGTTCCTCAGCAGAGCTCCGAACGTCGATCAAAACGATTTGAGGTTTTTGCTKTCATCATTTTAATGCGGTTAAGTGCAATTAAGTGAATAATGTTTTTGGAATGTATTTTATGTTATTGTCATTTTTATTCGAAGTACAATTTATTGTCATATGTGAACATTTGCATGTACTGATCTATTAAAAATTGCGAATAAAATGTTGATATTGARACCAAACCAAATACGTAAATACAAGTATGTATGCATGTAGTGCAGTCGATAATTTTTCATATTTCATTTTTCAAATGGCAGACACAATATAATATATGCACAGGTGGTCCACATGTTATACGTTTTAACACTCGGATGATTAAGGGAATCGATGCAAATAAACACTGGCCGGATCAACGTCCCAAGGAGTTATTCCATTCATGTATTTCATCAAAATATTTTAACAGTATTAGTAATATATACATATATTATATATTAAGCTTTGCAGAAATGGTGCCTTCAATATAGTACACCTGTAATCTTTTCCGCAAAATAGCCGACTAAGCCCAAGATACCGTTCATGTGAACATCAGCACTTTCAGGCTCCTTACCGAAAATACGTGACAAATTATGCGGAAAGTTTTAAAGTTTAAATAAACATCAAAGGTGAAGATAGCTACGCTTACAGTATACAAAATGTTCTCTTTTACTAACTGAAAATCTCTATTTCGTTTCAAAAATAATTTGAATGGATTTATCAGATAAAATGAAGTCGCCAAATCCACAGTAATCGGAATATTCTGTTAGTAAAGGTAAAATATATTCTCAAAATTAATTTAGTAATTTAATACGTGATCGCGTTAGGAATGATTTTTCAAATTTTTACAATGGTGGACGAGGTAGAATCTTGTTGTAATCATGATTGTGTTCAAATACTTGGTGTGGAAAAGTTGAATGGTGGACTAATAGTCCTCAAATACGACGAGTCATGTTCCGAAAAGTAAAACTTGGAAAAGTTTCTTTTTGATAGTCCAAATTGTCCTAGTTGAAAAACTCCAAAATATAAAGAGAATGGTGGCAAATTTTAAGATTCTAAGAGCAAATACTCGCTTCATCTGGATAAATGTTGGGCTAATTTACATTATTATAGTGAGAAAAAAGAGAGCGAGAATGGTGGCAATGCTGGTAGGATCGTTCATTTACATAAGATTATTGCTGATCTTTACAAAAAAAAATGTCGACTGGAAAAAAAAAAACTTATAAAAGGCTTTATATTGAAATATAACACWTATTCTCAACATTTGTCTCCCAATATATTAGGTTGTCAAATATCTTTGGAATTTCGCTGCTAYGTATAAAGCGCTACAGACCTTGTATCTAGCAATACTATACATTTTTGAAAGGTCTTTACAGAACCTACAAAACGAAGCTATGCATGATTAGTTTGGATATTGCGTTCAACTGTAATAGACGTGTAACATGGAGTTCACTATATTACGCTATTTTAAAGTGTTCCTTTGTTAAATTCATATCCGCTAGAGAAACGTTTCGTGAGGTTAATGGTATTTTGGGGGATGGTACTCATATCACTTCGAACTGCGGACGAAGGGTTTCGACGATTCAGAGTGGGTAAAAACGACACCATGGATAAACCAGCCGGCGGAAACCTGTGACGAATACCGATCAACTCATGGAAAACATCGAGTTAGACCGGCATGTGKCATCTCGTGACATCGCCTATGGGAGTTAGTCACCAAACCATTTTAAACCAAATGCAGAAGGCTGGATACACAAAAAAGCTTAATRAGCCGAATGATTTGACGCAAAAAAACCTTCTGGACCGAATCAACGGTTGCGATATGCTGCTGATACGGAAGCTAATGGTGACTGGCGTCGAAAAATGGATCACAAACGACAATATCACGCGGTCGTGGTCGAAGGCCGGTGAATCGTGCCAAACAGTGGTCAAGATGCTTAATTTTACCATCTACTGCGAACAACTGGACCGCTTGAAGCAGGCGAACCAGGCGACGACAAGCGTCTAGAATTGGCCAACAGGAAGGGAGCAGTGTTCCACCATGAGAGGAGATTTTATCCTGRATGCTGGATGGAAATATGTTTCGAACAAAAGGCGAGGTGTTTGATAACTTAATACTTCTATTCAACCTTATTTTTCAAAACCAAACTGGCACGATAGACAAGTGTTATTGAATTTCAGTGACAGTATTTGCTGTAATTATTGTCTTTTTTTTTGTCAAAAACTGAGAATACTCGTGACAATACCACCACTTATATAAATATATAAGAAATWKGTATACATATGTATGTATATATACAGATTGTCTAGCATCCGATACAAACAAACATCATATTTTTCTRGTAATAGTATGTGGTGGGGCTAAAATGGGCAAAAAGGGGCAATACTAGCCTACATACTATATGAATATCAAATATACGAATTTTAAATTCCCTCTGTTTGGTGTTTTTCTCATTTAGACAATAGTATATCGTTACCTAAAGTGCAAAATAATGTATGATCGGCAAATTCGAAATTGAGTGTTTCATTGATTATGATCCACTACTTCAAATTATATTCATACATATATGTAAGTACATATGTCTAACATTTTAAGGTTCTGCTATCAGTCATAACCCAGTTTTAACCAATATTTAATTTTTGTTTCACTCATGTTCAATTTTATTACGTGTTACATTCTTTCCCCTGTAAATTTCTGAAAATKTTGTTACGTCATTTTACATTTTAGGTGACAATATTCTCTTTTGCTGTATTTGAATGTAAAGTTTTGTCAAAACTTGAAAATATTTCACAATATTTTTACTTGTTCAATATAAACTGATTTTAATACCTGAAGGTATTTGACCCTTACAAATTGCGAGAGTCTAAAATGTTCAGTTACACTTAAACGTAGCCCACCGTTCCTTATTATATCCATTATGTTTGCCATGATGCTTGTAACACTTAAAAGAAAACGTCATACACTCTATAAAGTATAGGGTTTTCTAAAAAGCGTGATACGACTTCTTTTCCAAAAAAAACACACACTATTATGTTCTGAATATAACTATAGTACATTGCAATGCCCTACACGACTTCTTTAGCAGAAACGAATTCGATGAATCCACTTTTTGAGTACTTTTCCTTTAAATCAAGTTATATGTCATGAATAACACGTTCCATATTAACTTCTAAAGCTTGAAGAGAGTCTGGTTTATTGCTAAGAACCAATGATCAATAAGAACCAGTCTAACGGTGCTAATGGTGTTAAATCACAATTGGAGACCATCAATGTCACAATTTCTTGATATTACTGAGTCTCCAAACTTTTCTCTCAATGATTTGGTTGTTGCACATRCTGTGTGGCTCGTAGCCCCCRTCTTGTTGAAAGCAAATGTTGTCATGTTCAACTTCTTCCAATTGCGGCAATAAAAAGTTGGTTATAAAAGATTTACAAGTATATGGTTCTACATTGACAGTAACGGTATCACCAGCTACTTTTCGAAAGAAATACTGACCGATGATTCCACCAGACCAAAAACCACACCAAACTGTTAATTTAGGTAAATGCAATGGTTGTTCATAWATAATTTGTGGATTCTCTTTGCACCAGAATCGACAGTTTTGTTTATTTACCGCACAACTCACATGAAAGTAAGCCTCATCGGCGAAAAKGATTTTCTTTAAAAAATCCGTATCGTTTTCAAATTGTTCCAAGGCAAAATTAGCAAATTTACGACATTTCCCAAATTTTGATACCGCCTTGGAATCCACAAATTACGGTCTTCAGTCAGCAAAATTTTGAGAAAGATTATTTTGATAATAAAATTGAATAATTTGTAAACGCTTCTTCCAATGATGAAATTGTAAACAATACTGAATAGAATGAAAAAATCATGACATATTAAGAATTGAACAGACACTTACAAATTTATATGGTAAATGATCAGCGTGACAAGCTAAGTTTTAGTTTTAGCCATGTCCGTTTGTCAATCCGTCCGTGTTTATATACATATACATGAACTAGTCCCTCAGTTTTTGTAACATCGATCTGTACCATCCTTTTCTCACCAAGAGGCTGCTCATTTGTCGAAACAGCCGATATCAGACAACTATAGCTGCCACACAAACGTTTGATTCCGATGGTATTTATTGTCCAAGACAACGGAATGTCACTGCAGCATRTAGCTGCCATTCGAATTGACTGATCAAAGTTATTGTGAGGAATCTTTTATATTTATGAATGGTTAAATAAAAAGCAGCGTATAAAATTAATACTTTGTAGTTAGACCTAAGCTTAAAAATGTAATTTTAAGGAAAAATGTCAATGTTACCAAAAGGAATATGTAACAACCATTATGAACCAATCAACCAAATCCGAACAGTGGAGAGACATGATTTCAAGAATATAAATAAATTAAAAATCGTCAGTTGAAAAATTCGGAGATCTCTATCATCAGAGGTGAGCAGGTATCCCAATTTCTTCACAAATTATCGCTTACACGGACAGACATATCATGGACTGCACTACATTCTTCGAAATCATCACAGGTAGAACTAATGTCATGAAGCTGCCGACTAWTAACAGTATTACTGAAGAGAAGAAGAGAGGTTTGTGATCGAGACCGTTAAATTTTAGAATGTTCAAGAATAGTTGAATTATTAAATTTTATTTCTTCATGTCAAAAAGCCTATTACGGATTTACCAGCAGGCGGAGTATGTAGGCAGATTTCGCTCAAAATTTTTTATTTCTGTTTAGATTTAAGAAAATCCATAAAAGTTCACATAATTGTTAGTTAGGGAACAACTATTAATAAAATGTTAGCATACTTTGATAACCGTTTACTTTATTTTAAAAACTTTTTTATGATAACGGAAAGGGTTAAAAAAAACAATGAGAAAGTGCATGTATTTTTAATGAAGTTACATGATTCTTCTAATAGCATGCGGTAGCCATAGATTTTCAAGTTGGTACTCAAAGTGAGGCCAATCCATCTGAAAATTGTCCACAATACGAATTTTTCTTTCGCGTGAAAATAAAAATAAAATTCTTCTTGTTCTTTATTGGCGTAAACACCGCTTACGCGATTGAATCCGAGTTAACAACACTGCGACAGTCGTTTCTTCTTTTCGGTACGTGGCGCCAATTGGATATTCCAAGCGAAGACAGGTCCTTCTCCAYCTGGYCCTCCCACAGAATGGAGGTCTTCCTCTGCTTCAGGAATTATGAGTGACTTATAGAGTTTTGTTTTTGTTCGTCAAGAAAGGACTTCTCAAYTGCCTACTTAGTTCGAAGTAGCACCTGTTGGCAAGAGTTATCCTGCGYTACATTTCCAGGCTGACATCGTTGGTGGTGTTTACGCTGGTTCCAAGATAGGTCCAGAAAGTTCCTTCCTGATCCTGACGTAAAGACAGCTCATTTTCGTGCTGTCGAAAGCGGCTTTGAAATCGACGAAGAGGAGGTGTGTGTCGATTCTCTTTTCACGGGTCTTTTCCAAGATTTGGCGCATGGTGAATATCTGGTCGGTTGTTGATTTGCCAGGTCTAAAGCCACACTGATAACATCCAATCAGTTTGTTACGGTGGGCCTTAATTTTTCACACAATACGCTCGATAGAACCTTATACGTGTGTTATCCCACGGTGGTTGGCACAGATTTTGGAGTCTCCCTTTTTGTGGATTGGGCAGAGAACACTTAAATTCCAATCGTTTGGCATGCTTCGTCTGACCATATTTTACAAAGAAGCTGATGCAAGCYCCTTATCAGTTCTTCGCCGCCGTGTTTGAATAGCTCGGCCGGCAATCTATCGGCCCCCGCTGCTTTCGTGTTCTTCAGACGSGTAATTGCTATTCGAACTTCTTTGTGGTCGCAGGCTGAAGAAATGTTCCCTTCATAATTGAAGAATTCTCTGCTCCGGTCTTGAAACATTCTGCTAGCCGCCGCATTTTTTCGTGCAATTTTCAAGCATTACCCCTGTCGGCCAGCTTGTCAAGCTCTTCATACTCACGCATTTCGCCTCTCTCTTTTTCTGTCTGCAAACGCGTCTCGCTTCCCTCTTCAAGTCTCGGTATTTATCCCATCCCGCACGTGTTGTGGTTGATCGTAACGTTGCGAGGTAGGCAGCCTGTTTTCTCTCCGCTGCAACATGGCACTCCTCGGCGAACCAGCTCTTCTTTTGCATTTTCCGAAAACCAATGGTTTCGGTYGTAGCTGTAGTARGGAGCCTGAAATGCCGTCCCACAGTTCCATTATACCGAGTTGTTGTCGAGTGCTCTCAGAGAGCAGAAGTGCAAGCAGAGTAGAAAATCGTTCGGCTGTCTGTTGTTATTGTARCTTCTCGACTCGGAGCGCGCGCACATCTAAAACACTGGAGATGTGTCTTCAGTCTATCACAACATGGTCGATCTGGTTGGTGGTTTTTCGATCCGAAGACAGCCAGGTAGCTTGATGAATCTTTTTATGCTGGAATCTAGTACTACAAATAACCATATTTCGAGTGCCGGCGAAGTCGATCAGCCTCAACCCATTTGGGAATGTTTCATCGTGGAGGCTGAATTTACCGACCGTATTGCCAAAGATACTTTCTTTTCCCACCATGGCCTTAAAGTCGCCAAGCACGATTTTGACATCGTGGCGGAGACAACTCTTATAAATGCGCTCCAACCGCTCATAGAAAGCATCTTTGGTCACATCGTCCTTCTCTTCCGCCGGGGCGTGGGCGCAAATCAGCGATATGTTGAAGAACTTCGCTTTGATGCGGATTGAGGCTAAACGTTTATTCACCGGAGTGAATGATAGTACTCAGCGACGGAATCTCTCTTCCACCACGAATCCTAGAATTTGAGCTCTTTTATATAGCCACTGTAGTATGTGCCACAAGGACCTACTCGTTTCAGTCCTTGTCCCGTCCATCGCATTKCTTGGACGGCGGTGATGTCAGCCATTATTTTCACGAGGACATCAACCAGCTGGGCAGCGACACCTTCCCAATTAAGGGACCGGACATTCCAGGTGCATGCCCTCAAATCATAGTCCTTAATTCGTTTGCCATAGTCGTCATAAAAAGGATAGTCACTCGTCTGACGCTTGTTGTTTCATTTCATTGGGTACATTTTTTACGTGGCAGGTCCTAAACCCAGCGCACAACCCTGCGGAGGGGTAGTTTCGCCTTCTCACTTTAGCTCAAAATTTAAACAAAATTGAAATAAAGTTATGTTTACATTGCGATTCGATGTTACTCGTTATATATGTATGTATGTACATGTATCCATCGGAGTATTTAGAGCACGCTTGCATAAATAAGAGTTTTGCGACGTGTCATTCTCTGCGTTAGAAATTGTGCTGATAAGTTGTGTTAAATTGTTCTTAAAATTGTTAAATTAAGTGCGTTTGATACCTTTAATAATCATTTGCTATTAAAAAAGGTAGTTATCTACTTAATTAATGTCTGCAGCAAAGAAGAAGAAAAGTGCGCAGCAGCTGCAAAATTTTTGAGTATCTATGGAACGGTGCCGCTGCAAGTTCTGGAAGTACCCATAATGAATTTGTGGAACCGGAGGTTGTGCCTGAAGCACAAAATAAYTTAGATTCCTTGTCACCAAACGAATATTTTATTTTTGGACACGAGAGAGATAAGAATTAAATTTTAAAATTTCCCGTGACTGTATACCGAAAATTTGTTACGAAAGCGTGGCGGATGATCATTACTGACAACGTTGCTGAGAGCTTTTCCTGGCGAGGAACTGCAGATAAGAAGCGCATTAGGGCCTTCGTTACTGCCATACGTCGTTAGTGAAATACGCTTAATAGGTTTCTACTTAAATTTTTATATTCATATTTAAATTCTATTCCAGAAACTTTTGCTGAAAATGGAGGCAAGGAAGAGGACTTTATGTTTGTATCTAACTCATATTTCCAGTACGCAAAAAATCGTATTAAAATTAAAGCAACAAAAAAAGTTGACTAAAATAGTACTAATTGTTTTTTAAATAAAATAACATTGAAGTTCCTAATTTTGCATTTTAATTTAATATTATTATATTAAAATCAAAATTAATATTAAAAATTATTTTTTAAATGTATTAATAAAAAAAACATATCCAAAACAAAGTAAATGTTTAAAACGTTTACAAATTTCATTAAAAATACGTGTTTTTTAAACATGTAGAAATCGTGTAGTTACATAACTTAAAATACATATTTTGCAATTGTATACGCTTATGTATATAGTTGGGTGCTTTTCGATGACTATATAAAAACCTCTTGCTTTGATGTCTTTTGAAAAGGTTACAGCAGTGTTTTACTCACATTTGAACGCTTACAAAATGCTTTTCGACGACGGCGTAGGACCTTAGGGAGAGGGGTGTTAGATGAGTTGGGTTAGTTGGGCATGCAAAGAAATGGTTGGAGTCTTGCGGGGACTCGTGTCATGCTGGACATATATTTGGTATGTCGGGATCCATTCTGCATAAGTAGGAGTTTAACTTGCTGTATGATACATTCTTCAAGTATTAAGTTCATGTGTAATTATTTARAAAYAATTCGCACAAAGTTAGATATAAAACAATCTCTCTTTATTTCAGTTAACAAATCAATATCTTAAGTTTAAATAATTTCTTAGACGTACTTTCTAGATCAACATTAAGCAAATCTAAAATTCATTCAAACTAATGCCATGGCACTTGATTTGGATTACTTATTGAACCTTTTTTATAGTATTTGGCAGTTGCAGTAGCAGATACAGTCATTACCGGGGAATTTAAGCTTGGTTCGTAGGACGGATAGCTTCCTTCCGCTTTTATTACGGCGGCACATTTCCAATCCTTGGTATAGTTTTCTACACAAATATAAAAAAATTTTATATTTATRGTATCACTCCATATATGTATAAAAATACTTCTCCAAATTCGCACACATCCATCATCACCAGTTGAAATTAACATTGTAGCTAACATATTCCAACAAACTCTCCAAACAGGACAGTTATGATCACTAAATTTGGTTGCTTGTATATCAAGTTTGGTGTTTGCGGATGCATCTCTAAATAAAAAGTTTTAGTTAACATAATGACAACATTTTGACTAATGATCTAAATACTTACGTCACTCCYCGGATATTGACAATATATAAGTCTTTACTTGCTACCGCTAGCATATGAAATGTCCTACCAGGATTAGGTGCAAAGGCTAAATCAGTAACTGGTTGTGTAATTTCATTAATGGCATCAATTTTAACCCATTTGCGAGTTTCACTATATGCAAAAATAAAAACTTTTCCGGTATGTGTAGCTGTCTCGTCACTTCCCGCCTACAAATGGTTTGATATATTTCAAGTATTCATATACACACATAAGTATATATGTATGTACACATTATGACTGCTTAAATAATAATGAAGTTTTATAACTCACCGCTAAAAGTTGTGAAGATAACATGTATGTTGAAGTATTCCATGATATGCAACTCAAYGGTAATTTATTAGCAATTTCATGCAAAACAGGCCACTGGGTGAGGTTCATTATGTCTGGTGCTTCATAAATCCTAATTATACCATCAGCCGATGTTGTGGCCAACATTAGTCCCAAGTATTTAGGAGCAAATTTAACATCAGAAACGCTTGTACGTGAATCATCCAGTGTCATTCGACGTACCCAACGACGTGAAGGAGTCGATAAAGACGCAACTTTTTCTCCAACTATTTCTTCCCACACAGACGCCGTTCGATCAAATGAGCATGTAACTAGAACTTGCCCAAATTCTGGATGAGCCCAGGAGATTCGCCAGATAGAACCGGAATGTGCTTTCCAATTACTGGATTCAATCCAATTGCCTTTTTCGTCTTCATCCCAAACCTTTGGTAARAAAAAAAAAACAAAAAAACCCAAGTCTTAGCAAGTATAGCCGGCATATGTATGTAAGTCTTCGGAGTACAAACCTTTACGGTTTGGTCACTAGAGCAAGTTGCCATTCGTCGACCGTAATAATCAAATGCGACATCGTGGATGACATCTTTGTGATCTGCTGATATCAGTTCCACTTCAAACATTWCCACAATATAAACAAAGTTAAAATGCACAACTTAGCGCGCGATGTACAATGATTAAAATGTAAAATAATTGATGAAAAAATKAAATCGAATGTCACGGCATGCAGATAACACAGGGTGACAAAAATAATATTAGCCATAATAAGAAAGCTTGTTTAACCAATAATAGAACGATAAGTTATACGCCGATTGTGTTTAATATCTGCGCTATTATATTGGCGGTCTAGATCCTAGATCCTAGCTTAGGCAAAACTTAAATATAGACAACAATTCTAATAATAGTGGAAAAAACAACGTAGTATATTTGTGTTATTTATGGATGTATGGATTTATGGATGCTCGGATTTAGACACTAGGCGACAACTTCGGAAAACGGACTTGGACAACGAAAGGGACATCGGTGCAGCGGCAGCCAAAGGGGGTCAGGGAGCTAGACGGAAATTTWGTTTCCTCGACGCTCTCTCGMCAGRARAACGGGCGCTGTTTGAGGAGCACGCTAGGGAGGATGACGATGTGCCCTCTTGCAGCGGCGCTCGCCTGGGGKGAACGYCGGGTGCAGCCGCAGCAGCAACAAGTGCCACCAAGACCCCCGCCGAAAGGTGTAGCGGGTCGGACTCAGGTGAGTCTCATCGGGATCTCTCCCAGAAGCCGGTCAACCCGGTGGATGCGATGATCCACGCAGGAAAGGGATGAGCGGTTCCCTATGAAGTGCGGACGCTCTAAAAGGCATTCGCATGGCTGTACTGCCTCTCAGCTACCCGGTGGAGTCGCTTACACCGGAGGAGCTCACGGTGCTCCAGGATCTCCTCATGGAGGAGGTGTTCAGAGGGGAGGACTATGCGGCGTCCTTCCTGGGAGTGGAGTTCAGAGGAGGAATGCTGCAGGTAGACTGCGTGGATGAGGCGTCCGCTGACTGGCTAAAGGAGTACGCTCCAAAGCTCGGAGGCTAGAAGGGTCCTGTCCTTTGCGCGAAGACGGCGGAAGATTTGCCAATGATGCACAGCATGACAATGTTCCTCCCTCGGTGCGGGGACAAGCCCTATGAGTTCGCCTTGGGGCTGGTGAAAAACCAGARCCGGGAACTCAGCATCTCGTCCTGGCGCGTCGTGAGCAGCAAAATGGAGGATATCGGAGGTATGAGAGTATGGAGACTCAACCTGTTCATCGACGAAGAGTCGTACAGGTACGTCCGGGCAGCGAGCTTCCGCCTGTACTACAGGTTCAGCACGGGGGTCATACGGCCCAACAGGCCTGCAGCCACCGGGAGCAAGGGAGCAGCAACGCCAGCAACTCTCCMGAACAAGGATGCGGACAAACCGACAGTGCCTGGAGCAGGCCCGGAGGTACTAGGTATGCAGGTGGACGAGGTGTCGGAGCAGCCATGCGGAAGCAGGACTGAGAAGGCAGTGCCTTCGGCGACT